AGTGTAGGTTTAGATTCTAAACTTTAGAACCATACTATATGAAACTTCAGGAGGCTTGAGTCTTTACCAACAAAAAAAAAAAAAAAAAAGGGAAAGTATGCTTTACTTGAAATTTTAGTTTCTATGCATAGTTGGTACATTTGCTTCAATCTCTCTTTTTTTTTTTCTTCACATGAGGGTTTTAATGATAAATTGAATAACTAAACTTATCAATACTTGTATTTAATATTAAATGTTTGGTTTTTGTGTTTTTTTGTTTTTGTTTTTTTCCCTAAACTGTACTTACTTGAAAATCTTTGCAATAATTTTCTTTAGATCTGGGGCTCCTTCTCCTTTAAGCAAGGTAAATATTTAAGCTTATATTAATTAGTCTCTCTATCCTTTCTAGTGACTAGCATGTAAGATGTATTCTTTAGTTGTTTGGACCTGGATGTTACATATCTTTGTTTTTATTTTTAAACAAAGTTCAATTTATCTGTCAGTTTGTTTTAAGCAATAAAATTGTCATAAAATTGAGTCCCTAACCTTGGATCCTGAATTGTTCTTTTAGGATAACCGAAAATGCTCTTTTTAACTCTTGACAGTGAACGTCTTTGCCAGAAGATGGCAATCATGTTCTGTAGAGGTTTAATAGGCCACCATTCCCTCCCCTGGATTGTTTCCAGGTCTACAATGCAGAGCCTGCTTTTTGTCTCAGTTTCCTAACTTCTAGCTGTTTCAGTGATGTTTGTTCATCTTGTATATCTGTTTGGCTGTGTTTTTCAGAACTGCTTTTGCATATCTCCACACTCTCTCATGAGAACAAAAACCTTAATATCCAGCCAAATTATTCTAGTAACTTCAGCGTTAAGTATCTTATTCTATTGATGAATGTGATCCCTTTTTTTCTCTCCACCTTGGTCATGTCGGCTTAGAGTACATGGTCTGGATGCCAGATATTTGCAGTTTGTCATTGGCTGGTGTTGTTCATTTCCATGGCTAAATGTGCTGTAAATTTAAATGAATATTCTAGAAAGCCTTTATTTTGTCTGCAGGAAATAAATAGTAGAAAATTTTAATATTAGCAGCAGTTTCCTTTAAATTGCCCATAAAATCCTGCAAGGTTGTCTGTGGCAGTGTAACGCTCATCCCACCTATTGGGATGGCCTCTTACTTATTAGAGCTGCACTAACAAAGCTGGAATTGGGTTTAAACAGATTCCTTCATAATAGACACCAAATAACTTCCAACTTATTGGGAAGCCAATACCCATGCTTTAGATTCCAGATTCTGTAATATATATTAGATAAAATTTGACACCTCTAACCCACTTCTGAAAAGCTCCAAATACACATCATTTTTTTTACTAAAATTCTGCTTCTTAAAGGAACACTGTTCCCAAAAAGCTTCACTTTGGTGTTTATTGTGAAGGGACTCTTTACAGCCCTGTGAAAGCAGGGTGGAGGGGTAATTTATCCACAGTAATTTAATTATAATTGTTCTCTTAATGTGCAATACTGTCCTGTTTTGATCTATACTCCAGTGTACCTTTTTTGCTAGATCATGGTGTCCTTTTCAGAAGGCTATTCTTGTTACTGGGAAAATTGTATAACTCCAAGAGAACTGGTCCTTTGTTTTTACATTCCCAAGGATCTGCCATCTCCATAGTTTGATACTGGCATTCGTCCTGAGAAACCTTTACACATTAACTCTGTTGTCCTTTTCATGGTGAATGCTTCTTGGTCTCCAAACTAATTCTTCCTCTCCACCATCACTCTGGGAGGGCGCAGTACTCTACAATGATGCATAGAAGGGATAACGAGAGAATTTGTGAAGGGATGGGAGTTGAGGGGAAGGAGGGCAAAAATTGAATAATGGGATGAATTGAGGAGGAAAGACTCAGTCTATGGAAAGCAAGTTTAAGCTTTCTACCATATTCTATGGAATCTTTTTTTACATGCATTCAGAGTAGGAGGAGTTATTTTTGTACTGACCACGCTAGTCAAGTGAAAACAGTGCAAAGCAAATATATCCTTAAGTACTTTAAAAAAGAAATGCCTTATCTGTAACAAATTTGACTTCCTTGTATCATTCCTAGGTTTTATTCCAATATAAAAAAATTAAAGAGAATCCTGAGTAAATACTTTCTCAGTAAACTTGGAATTCTGTATTTGAGTGATGCATATTTTGTATCCTTATCTCCAGTCTTCTCCAGCCACAACTGTTACATCTCCTAGTTCTACTCCAGCAAAAACTATTGATACATCTCCACCAGTTGATCTCTTTGCAACTTCTTCAACAGCAGCTCCTGTCAGGTTAGTTTTGCCATATTTTAATCATGCTCCGTTTTTAACTAAGACCGTGGACAAGTGGTTCTTAGCCAGGGTACTGTGACACTCTGGGGTGCTGTGAGATCTTTTTACAGAGACTCTGCAGTGCTGCTCAATATTGTCATTGTCCGATGTGCAGATACCTACACAAGCTGAACCCTGAGGTTTCAAATAGGAATCCATAGTGTCAAAAACATTCTAACCTGTTGTGGTCTTTTTGAGTTCATTGCAACAGAAAAATGGCTCTCTTTTTCTGTTGTCAAGAAACAAGTGGAAGCTAAGTGCTGGCCCTTTTTCCAAGGTGTATTTGAGTCTAGCAAGGGGGTGACAAGTCTGAAAAGCTTCAAAACTACTGCCATAGACATTTCACTTTGTCTATTTGAGGAGCTCAGGTTATTTGTAGCACTAAAATGCCAGGTCAGTAGATGTGATATTGGTAAAATATTCACAGTATTGCAAGACTCATGAACATATCTTGATGCACTAAATTGTTTGCTGTGACTAATGCAACTTGTAACATTTATATAAAAATGTTAGATATATATCAGCTTCCACAGAATTGACACTAAAACTGTTTTATGGCTCCATCATGTCTGCATCTGCAGTTAAACATAGCTATATAATATAAAAACCCAGATCTAATTGACTAAAATATGTATTTTAATAGGGATAGTTCATAATCTTAACAAGCAGAAAGTGAGCTAGTGCAACTGATTAATGTTGTAAACCCGAATTGCCTTTCCTGTTTACTTTGCTGTTTTTGAATGGTGATATAGGAATGTTCCTAAGCTTTGAACAAGTGAATAATGAACCTTCTTCAGTGAAACAAAGTTGCTTTGGCCCAGCCTGAAATGTTTCATTTGACATGAAACAGTATCTTGCATTTCCCCTTGTCTAGTTTTTTTAACCTTTACATTGGATTGTTTTTTAAAATAATACCCTGTTCTGAAAGAAAAGTAAGTCACCTTTTGAAAAAGTCAAAAGAGAACATTTGCAGTTTCTGAAATCCTCTCATTTCAGAACTTCATCATGTTGTCACTCTTTTAATTTTTTTTTCTTTTTGACCTGAAATTTGCAAGTCTAACCTAAACCTGCTACTCCTTCTCCACCCCTCCTCCCAGTAGCACTTCCAAACCATCCAGTGATCTTCTGGATCTTCAGCCAGACTTCACATCAGCTGTGCAAGCAGCTCCAGCAGCTCCTGGAGGAGCAACTTCATGGGGAGGTAATGTAGCCATTTCTTTTTGTCTAGGTCTCTGTCTTGGGTTTCACTTTAGCTGCCAATCTAGACTAGAAAATAGTTCTGCCCCTGATGTACTAGAACTAAGTGTGACTGGATAAAGGGACTTTGTTGTGTAAAATGAGGAAGATGTGTACTACCTCACAAAAGTAAACAAGAACAATCTCTAGAAGGGAGACACCATAAAATTGCCAAATAGACTCACTATTATTTCTTGCATTTCTTAATTTGTTCTTGTCCATCTATGCTTGCAAGTGGTGATATCTTTTCCTGTAAATGCCAACACTGTTGGATCCCTTAAATGTTAAACACTTCCATAAAACGCTTCTGTTCTTGTCATCTATAAGTACCATGAAAATGAACTCAATTTTGCTTTGGGCAAACTGGATTTTCATAGATGTTGTTTAGTGGACTCTGATCCCAACTGAAGTTTCCAAGAAAGAAAGTTTCCTGGACAGTGAGTTTCAGCACAGTCAGTTATTGACCACAGATAGATCTTGAGCTATGGAACTATAGTGGGTTTTGGGTCTTCAAGTTTCAATATATAATGTCTTGTACCCTAGCCTAAATGCATACAGTTACTTCACTTCTCTTGAATTCCTAAGTTTGGAAGATCAAGCAAAGGAATTTATTCATTTGTTCTGCTTTTGCCATCAGCAGCAATTCTGGTATGGCAACATAAAAAGTCACCATTGGTAACCACTATTTTCAAAGATATTAAGACCAGAAAAGATGTGACATCAGCCAGCTACTAGAACCTTTTTGCACAGCCTGGGTCATGGAATTTTTACTAGTTATTTCTGTACAAAACCACTTTTGTGGAAGTTCAGTACCTCCATTGATACCTTGATTTAAAGACTTTCCATCATGTTAGGTATCCCACATTCTTATAAGTTGTTCCAATGATTAACCTGTAAACTAAGACAAAATGTGTAATTTTGTTTGTGCTTAAGGTTTCAACCACTGCATCATGTTAAGCTTTATCTACTAAAATAAAAAAAACCCCAGCCATCTGCTTTTGGAAATTTCTTCCTAATGCAATGGCCACCTCATTACTAAGGCTTGTGAAAGGTTTGGAGAGAAGCAGGTTCGGGTTTAAAAGTGGCCAAATGAGCTAGACCTCTGTTTGGGTGACTTTTCTTGGTTTGATGTGCTGTTTGTGCCTGGTGTGCCTCAAATTAATGCTATTCTCATTTGTCCTCAGCTAAGTCTAGCTGTGGTACTAAGTAGGGATGCACCAACAGAGATTTTGGGGGCCAATACAATAGCCAGGCTTTTTTTTTAAGGAGGCATATCAGCCGATCCAATTTCTGATGCACAGCCTAGCACCTTGAAGAGCTCTGTGAAGCTGGTAAGTCTGTTGTGGTGGAAGGTGAGAGGCAGATGGAGGCCCCTACAGTGAGAGGGGGTGTGGAGCTGAGGCAGGTGCTGCCCAGCTGGTGCAAGGAAGGATGTGGGACATAGCTGCGGCTCGTCCAGGGGGTGAAGAGGTGGGAGGCAGCTTTCACCACTGTGTGTACCCCAGGACAGCATGACGGGGTGCCCCCCCGGATCTACATGGGGTTGTGCAGGCTGCAGCTGCAGGCTGAGGTCAGGGCTGGGCTAGGCTGTGCTTGGGGTGGGCAGTGCAACTGGGTGGGGCTACGGCGGTGGGGCTGCAGCCACCCCAAAATTCTCCATAGCTTCCCACAACCACCCCCTCTCAGCTCTACTGCTGCCTGCCCTGCCCCAAATGCAGCCTGGCCCAGCCTGCAGTGGTGGGAACCACCCCCGCTATGGCCCCTGGACGAGCTCCAGCTCTGTCCTGCACCCTGCCCCTCCCTAGCTAGGCAGTGCTTGCCCCAGCCCCGCTCTTTCCCTCAGCGCAGGGGGCCTTGATCTGCCCAGCCTACTCTCCTTTCCTCCCCACTCCCCTTTTACCACAACAGACTTACCAGCTGCATGCAGCTCTCCAAGTTTCTGGACTGTACTCCTCATCACTTATGTGCTGTGGCTGCATGCATGCACAGGACATTTATTGGTCACATCAGGCTGATTTTTGTTCCAATACAGACAATTTTCTTTATATCCGTGCCAATCCAATATTGGACTGATATATCAGTGTACCTCTAGCACTAAATGAGCTAGTACGTGTAGTCCAAGCAACAGCAGAAGTCATTCTTCTTAAAATGAGCTAAAACTATGTACCAGTAGTTGTTCCTTCCTCTCTTTAAGTTGGTGGCTTTTCTGTTTTCCTGCTTGCTTTTCTCTGGATAAGGAATATTTCTTACTTTGGATGCACTTTTTTGTGTGCATGTGGAAGTTTTTTGTACTAAAATTGTTTTTGTATGTATGGCAAGTTAACTTTTATGCAAAGAAAAAGGTTTGAAAATCTCTAAATTTTCACTATCTTGTGACCTGTTAATTTCTAATTCAGTTATCTAGAACAGTTTGATCATGAAATAAGTACAAGTCTACAGGCACCCTTTCACCAGGCTCTTAATTGAGCTCCTTTCCTTTTTCCCTTTCTAGGGATAGCTCATACTTCATGCAAACTTAGTATTTGGGTCCCATTCCCTCACTTCCCACCCCCAAAAGCACCAGACATTGACTTTTTTGAAAATCTGATGCTAATTATCTAATGAACTGGAAGTGACATTTCATTTTACTATGAACTTGAGTCATTCAATTCAGTTGTTAGCATATTAATATTGTGTTGTACAAGTCCTTTCCAAAAGGAACTTCACATCAGCCCCCCCCCCCCCCCCCCCCCCCCCCCCCCCCCCCCCCCCCCCCCCCCCCCCCCCCCCCCCCCCCCCCGCATGGTTATGAAAACTACCATATTTACCCATATAACATATGTCCCCAAATAAAGGATGCACGTCATTTTGAGAAGATTAGTTAATTTTCCCCTCCTTACTTTTCAGAATCTTAATGGCCACAGCATGGGCTCACCATGGCTAGATAGATGGGTGGAATCCACTCAGCATTGCTCCCCCTCTCCACAGTTACAGGTTTAACTTTGTTATAGCTGCTTCCCAATTGGCAGTAAGTTTTCCAATTTAGTAGCACCTGTGACAGGGTTAAATCTGTTACTAGTACTACAAGTCTTTGAATTATGATTGATTTGGTTACGCTTCCTCTTGGTGCATGTTGCCTAAGTATTAACTATTCTAGGAGAAGTATTGTGCAGGGTGGAAGGATATTAAGATGAATGAGTGGGTTCTTTTCTGCTTAGGGTTTGTTTGGTTTTTTTGTGGGGGATTTTTTTGGGCAGTTTTTTCCATGCAAAATTCTTAAATATGATACAATAAGTTCTGAAACCACTATATTTTTGGTAAATAACTTTAAATGGTTCTTGAGGAATTTAGTTGAAATAATTGGCATAAAACACATGAAGAAATTTGGGGGGTTGTGGATGGGTGAGACTTATTTAGGTAAAATAGAACATAATTACTGTGACCTCCTTTTCCAAGGAAGGTTGAGAGATTATGTATTGGACTAATATTTCTCATTTGGCTGGCTGAAATACTTTTATATTGTTTAATACTTTTAATACAGTTTTTAGCTTGGTGAATTCTTGATGCGACTCAGATCACTGTAATCCTGTCAGTCCAATGTGATTTGTGTGTGTAATGTTGCTGGTAGTTGGATGTGCAATGTACATTGTCCTTGAAGTTGAGTCCTAGCTTCTAAGAAACCTACAATAAATGTTCTGTATTGCCCACTAGACAAATAGTCCCTACGTCTCAAATTTAAATTTCTTTTTGGTAGGCTTAAAGTATTAGCACCAAAATAAGTAGAAGAATGGTTATCAATAGCTACAGTATTGACAGCTTGGAGTCATCCAGTATTTTAGACATTGCATTTTACAGAGCTTGCTGTAACTTTTGGATTAAAGGCAATCACTTTAAATAATCGTTTAAGAACCTCACAAGTCATTCATAGTCTATCAAAGCAATGTGTGAAGTGGGAACTAGTGTAACCCACACAGCAAAATAGCCAATTGTGCGTGTTAGTCCTTTACCACTAAGATGGGTTTAAAATGATATTTTTTTTCTCTCGTGCTCTTTTTTTCCCTCTTGCACTTTTTTTTTTTTTTTAGTGAGCACAAGAGAAAAAAGTTGTTTTAAACCAAAAATTATCAGCAGTCTCTTCAGACCCTGTGCTGCTTGCATTCTATCAAATGTATACTATCTCCAAGGAATTAGTTTATCAAATCAGTTCAAACTCCTGTGCACCAATGAATGGATGTTTTGAGTAAAACTCTCAAATAGTTTTGTTTCACATCAGGTTCTGCACTTGTATGTTCTTTGCAAGGCACTAGAAGACTTCTGAGTATATTAAATATATTTAAGTTGCCTTTTTGTGAGTTCTAGCTTAAGACCTTTTACTAGCAATTGGTTTATGAAATGTATGGCTAAATTTTCATCTGGCACTTCTTGTTAATTCTCATGTTTCTTTACATTGCTATCGTTTTAATGGACAATGTTGGCAGATCTCTTAGGAGAGGGTGAGTAACACTCTAACTTCTAATAACTCTTGAGTATGACCTTTTTGGAGTTGAGTGTTTAGTGGTTTTTTCCCTCTTTCTTACTGTTTCTGTTTTTGATCTTCATATATGGTTGCATATAGATAATCTGGCTGCACTTTCCAGTGTTACTTCTGAGCCACAGATTTCAGATCCCTTTGCACCAGAACCTAGCCCAAGTACTGCTGCAACTACTGATGCTCCAACTACTTCAGCTTCTGCTACAACTACAACTATTACTGCTGCCACTGCTGAAGTGGATCTCTTTGGAGGTTAGTTTGGCTGCTCTAAGAATGTTCCAGTTCTGTAGTTTAAATGGAGAACAAGCAGTGTTTAAAATATCATAGTTTGACTCCAGATTTGGTAAATCTGATGGCTTTTCTAGCATCTGTAAATTCTGTTGAATCTGGTAACTCAGAAAAATATTTTAGTGGAATTGTTAAATTCTATCATACATTTCTCCTTTTATGACTTTCCTTCTTAATATGTGGGTGTTCCCTGTTTGGGATATTCCCTATTGCATCCCTTCACTGGTTGAAAATTGTTCTTCGATCTCCTTTCTATCAAAGCATGGAATTGAACTATGAATGAATATGAAATGTTATTTGAACATAGGCAGATCAACACAGTGAGTGAGTTTTTATGCTGGAATTTTAAGTATGGGTTGTAAATATGGCTCTACAGGTACAGGCCCATTGTACAAAAATGGCCGTGCTTCACAGCCGTTTGTCATTCTATCTAAATGGAATGCAAAAGCACCAAATCATGCATTTACTTTTGAGCCTACCTTTAAAATAAAATAATACAGGCATTCAAAGTTTGTCTTTCTGTATCTGGTAGCTTTTACTTCATATTGACAGGAAATGTATGCATTGTAATTGACTTAAGTAACTGGTACCTTTTTCCTGCTTCTTTGTATAGAGTCCTTATTTGTACAGCATTAGGGTCCGTGTCCAGGGTCTTTATAAGGCAGTCAGCAGTTAAGCGTTTCCTGGGCTGCAAGGTTGGCAGCAGCTGCAGCTGATTATTGAACTGGAGCGAAGCTAAAAAGAGGCTTAAAAACTCCATAAGCTAAGTGCAAAAGAGAGGGAAGGCAGTGGTACTAAGGAAGAAGCACAGGGCTTAGATTGCTCTGTTAGGGTCTAAGAAAAGACTGTCCGTCTGTTTTGCTATCTCTTTTTGCTTTATTATTTGTGGTGTTTCTGTGGAGGCAAGTTTGCTTCTTGGAAAAAATAAACTGGTTAGAAACCGAAAACATGCAGCTGACTGGCCTTGAGAAGGTCTGTGTCACACAGGGGATTGGCTGGGAGAAGAAAGCTGTGTGAAGTGAATGACCCCCTTACAGTCTATTGAAGAAGGTGAGGTGGCATATCAAATAACTAGATCTGTGGTGAGGCGGCTTGCTTTCTTCGTACTTTGCAAGTTAATAACTCTTTCCATTTTAAGGGTCCTATAAAACTGAAGGGAGTGATGCAAAGTGTGACCTCCTTTTCTTTTCTTTCTTCTCCTCTTTTTTTCTCTCTACCTGCCTGCCCCCTCCCCCCACAACCTGGATGCATTGGCTAGGAACAGAAGTTGCGCACAAACCGGTTTAAGTGATCAGAAATTGATTTAAACATGTAATGGAACAAAAGTTCAGTGCACATCAACCAGTTTCAAAATGGCTGCAACTGGTTTAAGATAAACCTGGTTGAATGTAGTATCAGACTTAACTGACTGAGGTCAAACCAGTTTATGGAACTTCGGCCCCAGATCCCTTCCTGGTTTAAGTGAATCAGAGTCCCTCAGCATGCTTTTTAGCCCTAGTTTAGGCTGGGCTGTACTCCCTGCTTCAGAGAACAGGACTGCCCCTGCCCCTCTGCTGTCTAGCCAGAGCAGGGGTGGGGGTCTGGCCTGGCATGGCATGGCATGGCCCCCTGAGGTGAAGGGGGCAGGGAGGGAATTTAGTTTCCCCTCTTCCCTCCCCTGTCCTCCTGGGAGATCCCAGGCGGGGTCTACCTGGCCAGGGGCAAGTGGCAGAGGCAGCAACCAGAACTGACAGACCCCAGCTGTGGTCCCTGGGTGGGAGAGGGGATGGAGTGGGAAATAACCCTGGAGTGGTGGGGGGGGAGGAAGGGACCTTGACAGGGGCTGCTGTGCCCTGGCCAGGCAGACCCTGGCTGGGGTTACGGGGGGGAGGGGAGGGATCAGGGAATAAACCACCTCCCTACCCCCTTCACATTTTAGGGAGCCTTGCTAGGCCAGCATCTGGCCAGAGTCTAGCCACAGTCCTCGCTTTGCCCCCCAACCCCTCCAAAAGCCTGGCAAGGGCTGTTTTCCCCCCTTCCCTTCCAGGCACACCCTGGCTGGAGTACTTGCAGGCCAGGGTGGAAGTTTAAACACCTCCCCAATCATACTCAGGCTGCTGGGGCCTGGCCATACCCCTCCCTCAGCTCAGCTTCCCTCAGCCACTGTAGAAGGGAAGGGAGGGCTTGCTCTAGAGCAGGGGTGGGCAAAATATAACCCGCGGGCCAGATCCAGCCTGTGAGGCCATTCTATCCAGCCCATGGGCCCCTAAAAAAAGAAATTTAGAAAATGAATACTTATTTGTCATTGGTTCCTGTCCAAAATGATAGGAACCGAGGGTAGTAAGACCCAGGGGAAGCCCGGTGGGCTCCCACAACAGCAGGGCCCACCCAACCCCACCCCCCCAGCCTGAGACCACATGGCTGCTCTGCACCAGAACTGCAGGGGAGGAGCCCGGGTGGGGAAGGAGCCCAGGGAAAAATGGCCCACGGAAAAGCTGAGCGCAGTGGGGGGAAAAGCAGCCCCTCACCTGCCCCGTGGCTGGCGCTCGTGGCTGCAGCACAGGGCACCAGGCGAGGGACTGCTTCACCCCCTTCCTCCCCCTCGCGTTCAGCACCAGCTTCTAACCTGGCTCCACGGCCAACCTGGGCCCTGCACCGGCTCCAGGTTCACCCGTTGGGACTGCACATGGTGACAGCAGCTCTGGCCCCCCTGCTTGCCGTGCAGGGCAGCGTTTGCCACTGCCACCTCTGGGCTACCCAGCGCATGAGCTCTGGGCAGGCAGCAGCAGCCAATGCCCAGGGGGGTGCTGTAGCTGCTGTCACTGCGATGGGCGAGCTCAGAGCTGGCGTGGGGCCCAGGCTGGCAGCGGGGGCGGGTTACAAGTTGGTGCTGAGTGTGGGGAAAAGTGGCCCCTCACTCTCACCCCGTGGCCTGCACCCCGTGCTGTAGCCACTTGCAGCCCGCATGGGGCTGGCTGTGCCTGCTCCAGGCAGCCTCGCATGGGCTGTGAGTGGCTCCAGCAGGGAGTGCCAGGCACAGGGCAGGTCAGGGGCCACTTTTTTCCATGCGCAGCACCAGTTTCTTCCCTGCTGGTGAGCAGGGGGTCAGGGCCGTGCACTGCCCCCTGCCTGTACCGTAGGGCTGGGTGCCACTGGGAGTGAGTGGGCGGGGAGCCAGGGAAAGCATGGGGCCTGCACTGGTGTCCCAGGGCCAGTGCCAGCAGGGCACCAGGAGCACGGGGTCCTGGCTAGCAGGGGCTCTGGAGCCAGGCCAGCTCCCCCGTCTTCTGGCTGGTGCCGCCCAGCCCCGCTCCACAGACCCCTGCCAGCCTGTACCCAGCTTTGGGCCCCACCGGTGCTGGCCCTGGGACATTGGTCCTAAGACATTGGGTCATTGGTCCCAAGATGGTGACCAGGCAGCAGGACACCTGTCAAAGGCCGGGGCTAGCTATGCAGCCATCAACAGCCTGCCAAAACTGGGTAAGTGGCCCTCTGCCTGAAATAATTGCCCGCCTCTGCTCTAGAGCCCCCGACTTCTGGCCTGACACTGCATTTTCAGAATCAAAAGTGAATATCTATTCACTTGCTTGCCAGTTGAATCTACACAGGTTAGACTAACCTGAAAAGATTGAATCAATTCAGGCTTGGGCTTATGAATATCTGTACTTGGCCGTGGAAATCGGGTGTGATATAAACACACTAGCTTAATGCCCTTTGAGGACATTAATCTTGCACTTGTGCTACCTACTGACTTCTGTCCCTCTTGTCCTTGTGGGATGTCTTGTAGGGTCTTTGCTAGGGTTCACTTTTCTATGCAAGCTTTACTGTTATCTGACTGGATGACTTCCCAGTTAGTCTCCTCATCTCTCCCCCAGTTACCTCCTGATCCACTAAACGCAAAAGGATGACTCCTTAATATTTACCGGATGCAAAAATGTGCTTCGTTACAAAATAAATTTACCTGTAGTTACTCAATACCTTGCTGTATCAATTTTCATAATGGTTATTTCTTTTCAGTGGTTTCTCCCCAACCCACCTTTCCACTGGCAAAATTGTAGTGAAGGATTTTCCACTCAGCTTTTTCAGATTTGTGTACAATAAGCGTGCGGATCGTGAACAGCAAAGCTAAAGAGATTTATTAAACAGGCTTTTTTCAAGGTGCCTTTCCCAGTGACTTTAAAACGGACACCCTGAGAGTTCTGAAGCCTTCTTCTGTCTAGCCCTTATAAAGAGCAGGGTTAGGCAACCTGTGGACCCGCTGTATCTGGCCTGCAGAGAAGGGGCTTAGAAGGTGGGTAGCAGTACTCCAACTCCGGTCTGACTGGTGTTGCATAGAGGGGGAGGATCACTTCCTTGGACCTGCTCGAGATGCATCTGTGGATGCATGACAAGGTATGGTTGACCTTCCTGACCGCATCCCCACACTGCCGGCCCATGTTTATCTTGGCATCAGTGATGACTCCAAGATCCTTTTTTGCCTCTGCACTGACGAGAAGGGAGTTCCCCAGCCTGTAGGTCTGCTGCTGGTTTTTCCTCCCCAGGTACAGCACCTTGGACTTGTCAGTGTTGAAACCCATCCTGTTCTTATCTGCCCATCCCTGTGATCTGTCTAGGTCCGACTGCAGCCTATTCCTCCCTTCTAGTGTGCCCACATCGCCCCACATCTTAGTGTCCTCAGCAAATTTGAACAGGGTGATTTTTACCTCCTTGTCCAAGTCACTGATGAAGATGTTGAACAGTGTGGGTCTGAGGACCGAGCCCTGGGGGACCCCGCTGCCCACATCCCTCCAGGTCGAAAATGACCCATCCACCACCATTCTCTGGGTGTGGCCCTCCAGCCAACTACTGACCCATTTGACTGTAGGTGTCGACACCACAGTCCCTTAGTTTTTTAATGAGAATGGGGTGAGAGACAGTGTCAAAGGCCTTCCTGAAGTCCAGAAAGACTATGTCCACTGCTACCTCTGCATCTAAGGATTTGGTGA